AAAAAAAAAAAAAAAAGCATGTAAGAGGAACATAAGTTTGAATCAGATGGACTCCCTCCCCCAAAAAAAAGACAGCATAAAATAGGTGGCATGACATTTCCGTGAATCGAGAGATGTTTTGCCGTCTGCAGATATAATCATCTTTACCTTTACTCCAGACAGATAGCGTTGTGTGCGAGTTCCTTTTTTTTTTTTTTTTAATCATTATTATTTGCCCGCGGATCAGATATTTAACTCACCAGAACAGGAACTACACTTGATCTATTTTTAGCCAAAAGGCCGAGAAAGGTATAAAGTCGGTGAGCATAGCTAGAGTGTTTGTCGTCTTTCACATCAGATTCTCGTTTTCGAACTTTTTTACTTTTTTGTTATCATTTTCTCTTCCTGTCTCTCTCTCTCTCTCTCTCTCTCTCTCTCTCTCTCTCTCTCTCTCTCTCTCTCTCTCTCTCTCTCTCTCTCTCTCTCTCATAGGTGTGGCTCTCTTTCTGTGTTTTGTCAGGAATTTCCTAGTTACTCTATCTGTACAAATGGGCAATGCGAGTTTTCATGGCGTCGCACCACGGGAGAGGAAGGAGAGGAAGAAGGAGAGACTTGCTCGAGTCCTGCTGCAGCATCAGTATAATGGCGGGCAAGTGAGCCATCAGGGCAGAGTCGCACAAGCGCTTCGGAACATAGATCTGACTGCAATTGTGGGCAGATGTGGATGAATATGACTGCAATTACGGGCAAGTGAGCCATCAGGGCATTGTCCAGAGCTTAACTGAAAAAGTCCTAATGTAAGTGTACCCTCAGAGGATCTAAGGGCCACTAGTCTGTACATCATCCAGCCCTCAGAATGTCACTTTACCCCTCCCTCCCTCCCCCCCTCCCCCCAATGGCATCGGTTATGTCTACGCACTGAGTTCTTCGATTGCTGCGCAGCTGAGTCTACTGACCTATCCATCTCTGACATACTACCAGTCTGCAGTCTCTCTGTGTTCCTCGATCAGATTGTGTAGTTTTACGTGCCGTATAGGGAAGTATCAGTTAGTTTAGGGCAAAAAGAAGAAGAACAATAGGGGATGGCAGAGTGAGGTAGGCAATCTTTTGCTGTGCTTCCTTACGTTTGGTGTTTATTGCATTATGCGTGTATAGGGTCTGTCTGGCTTCGTGTGCTCTGACTGAGTCACTGAGCTGAATCTGTCGACACTCTCGAGTTTTTTTCTGTTTGTTTGTTAATTAAGTTAAACGCTTGCTGCATTTGTGGAATAGAGACAGGTTGCCCATTTACTCTCGCATGTCTGGCATCATTCTCTGGCAAGGTTTACTGGAGAGAGCCTCAGGCCTCAGGGGGTTTAGTGCAAATTAGTGGAGGAAGAAGAGGGGATTTGGACCATTTGGTAAATTGGTACCCAAATGCCATTTATTGTAAGATTGGTAGGAGGGAGGGGGTTTAACCCAATCTTTGACAGGTTAATTGCAGAGCAGGTTAATTGCAGAGGGAGGGGGTTTAGTGGAGCAAGGAAGAGGGGTTACGAAGGAGTTAAGCCAACCTTTGGCAGGTTAATTGGAGAGAGGGGAGGAGGTCTAGCGGAGCAAAGAAGAGAGAGTAGTAGTAGGATACTAGGATTTGGTAGGCGAAAGCGATTGACTTGCATTTTGGCAGTTTAGCTTTGGTATCTATCTGTATGATTTTTTTTTTTCATTGCATTCATCTATGATCTAGGTGCATGGGGATTCAAACTTGGGTCTGTGTACTTCATCAACGGTTCATGGGTGTACCAGCTGAGCTATAGCCTATAGGTTTGTTGTGGCCTATTTTTGCATGATTTAGTGGAGTGAGGGGTACTAGAGTAGTAGAGTGTGGTTTGATACAAACAGAGGGGGGTTGGCGGTGACATCCTTGGAGACCCCTCCGCAGCTTTCTTGACCGCCTTGTGCTTTGGAGCTTTAAATTTGTGTTTAACTTTTTTTTTTTTTTTTTTTTTTTTTCATGTGTTAAACTTTCTGTCTAGTTCTCCTCTTTTTTTTTTTTTTTTTTTTTAATCCAGGTGTCTGTCTAGCAACTCCATTAAATTTTGTCGTGCTTGTCCCATTTCGTCACCGACTTGCCTCACACCATTTTCTTCTTCTATCCAGCATGCCGCGCAGTGTGTTCGGTATCGGCCGTGGCTGCAGCAATGGCAGCCTTGTCCTGATGTCCTTGGTCCTGGCGTATCTGTTTGTTGCTGTCGTCATGCACGACGTTTGGCAATACAACCAACGTCAAGATCCAAGACAGTCTTCACTTCCACAGCTTATCGATGTCATTGACGACGAGTCCTTACCTGGACAAAGTTCTCTCTCTTCTGCTGCTAAAGTTCACCCAACGACACGAAATTCACGAATCATACGATCTATGAGGGAAAGCAACGATCTTTTTTCACCCGAGCAGTTCCTATTCGGTGCCAAAGTTAACGTCCCTCCGTTAGGCACCGTTAGTGATGTAGTGGTTAGGGGAGTGGAAAGACACCAACAACTTGAATCCCATTCCAACAGCAACAGCAGCTCTGCAAGCAGCGACGGCGGTGGCGGCGGCTGCAGCTCAGGCGGCAATGGTTGTCCATCTTTAAATGGAGAGCAAAGTGACGAAGAGAAGAAGAAGACGAAGACAAAGCACCTCCATCTTGCTGAGGTCAGTGAGGTGCAGGAACTTCCTCCCCCATCTCGAGGTCCACCGATCATTTCCCATGATGGCATTTCGTCATGCAACTCCGTTAGCTTCTCCAAGGGTCGTGCGATTTCTCCGTCGGATTACATTGACTTAGGCTCCGTTCCGTCATTCTTTACCCGCCTTACGCGTTTTGCACAAGACAAAACAAATCATTCCGGACGTACCCCTCAAAATCGGGTGGGGGTGTTATCACCCCGTCATGGTCACGAGGCCGGGCAGCGAGGCCGCACGAAGTCACGGTCCTGGACACGCCTTCTTGCAGAGAAACTGGCCTCTTCTCCTGACTCGGACGGGAATAATTCCACGGAGGGGTCCGTGAACATTATTTCCGGCGGCACCCCAAAAAACGTTTTTTTCTTCCACATGTATGAGCAGGTGCAGAGCCATCGCCGTCTTTGCTCCATCGAGAGCTTCTTACGGAAGAACCCCGATTACACAGTGTACATATATGCCCCCTCTTTGAAGTTCTTCCGCAGTACGTGGTCAGAACGAAGAAATCCCCGCGTCCGTCTTGTGAAGCTGAACTACGACGACATCTTTAAGGGCACACCTTTTCAGACATGGTACTCCTCAGGGGCATACCTGAAATCGCGCTGGGTGAAGATGAACCTTGGAAACGCATGTCGACTCGCTGTTCTCTGGAAGAAAGGGGGGACGTACCTGGACCTCGACGTGATCAGCTTGAGTCCTCAGCCATCGGGCCTACACAAAGCCGTGGCATCCGAGCACATCAGCTCCATCAACTGTGCCTACTTGCGCTATCCGGCCAGGGACGGCTTCCTCTGGGAAAGCATGAAGGACTTCGTCAAAAATTGGAACGGCATGAAGTGGGGCATACAGGGGCCGCAGCTGACGTCGAGAGTGTACTTCCGTTGCTGCCAGGACGTGTTGGCGACGCTGTCGTGGCTGAACACACCGGAAGCAGGAGGAGTGTCAAAGAAGGCAAGGAAAACTTTCATGGACAGGATGTACAGTCTGCCGCCGCACAGGTTATCACCATCCTATGAAGCGCCGGCGTTCTGCAAGGACTTCGTCGTCTTGGAGGAGGTCTCCGTCTACCCCATCCATTTCAAGCGACACAATGCTCTCCTCTATAACTGGAAAGATCAGTGTGACACGGTCACCAAGATGGCGAATCGATCCTTTCTCTTCCACTACTGGGATCATTTCTTCCCTGATACTATCAGGTTCGGCAACGAAAGCTTGATGGCAAAGGTCATGGCGGAGACTTGCCCAAATACCTTTTCTAGGTACGAATAGTACGGCTCTGCTTCCTTCCACACCTCGTCGTTCTCAGCAGCTGCAGTCCCTTGGAACTGTTTTCAGTTCTACTGGAACCAACCAACCTCTTAGCATCTCTCTCTCTCTCTCTCTCTCTCTCTCTCTCTCTCTCTCTCTCTCTCTCTCTCTCTCTCTCTCTCTC